TTTTTATTATCATAAAGACAGTGTATACATACTCTATCGGATCGGTTACACAATCATTATAGTCTCTTACAACCTTAAAGTCAACCTGTTAAACTAACTTCAGTGCTAGCCATGTCATCAACAATGACGTCTGATAACGACAAGAAATAAGCATCTGGGGGGGGGGGGGGGTCTTTATCAGTTTGGTTAGCGTCGCTCATCTTGTTCTGACCTGTAAAGGAGAGCGCTGAGGGAATCAACAGAAGGCGAGCTGCTGGAGAGATGAGAATTTCAAGGTCCAATATTAAGAATTGTTTCTTGGTATTTTGTGCAAGCCTTCTGGTTGCAAGAAGCTGCCATGGTTCTAAGCATGTTGCCTTATTTATCTTTGGAGATTCATTATATGATGCTGGAAACAATAAGTACATCGAAGATGCTCCTATCTTTTCAGATTTCTGGCCATATGGAGAAACCTTCTTTAAGCATCCCACAGGAAGGCCTTGTGATGGTCGATTAATTCCAGATTTTATTGGTAAGATCATTACAGTTAAGAGCACTTTAATTCATTCTTTTTTGTTCCTTCTTTTCTTATTTTTATGAAATGTTTGTGACAGCTCAATATGCAAATTTACCTTTACTTCCGCCATATCTACAACCTGGTGACCATCAATTTATGGATGGAGAAAACTTTGAGTCAAAAGGGGATCTTGCTCTTGCTGAAAATCTTCCAGGAATGGTATGTCTGTCGTCATGTTGTTTTTTTCTTGGTGGGGTCTTCAATATTATTGATCCCCACCACTTTTGCGTCTTTTTATAAATTAATCAAACTCGAGATCTCTCTTAAATCTACTCAAGGAATAATGAGATTCAATGATTTTTTTCAAGGTGATAAGCTCTGAAATACAACAACATCTACAATCCAGTAATCATCGATTTATAAATGGAGTGAACTTTGCATCATCTGGAGCTGGTGCTCTTGTTGAAACTCATCATGGATGGGTATGTCAAGAATACAAAGTTTACTGTCTTAGATATGTTCCATAACTGTTTTTTTTTTTTGGTTTTCATTTTTTCCCTTTTCTTGGAAGGTGATTAACCTTAGCACTCAACTAAGCTATTTCAAGCATATGAAAAGGCGGATAAGGCTTCAACTAGGTGAAGCAAAAGCTAAAAAATTGCTGTCCACAGCAGTTTACATGTTCAGCATTGGAGGCAATGACTACTTCGCAGCTCTAACACCAACGCACAGTTTGCTTCAATTATATTCAAGAGAAGAGTATGTTGGGATGGTTATTGGCAATATAACAACAGTGATCCAAGTAATTTAGCATGCTAAAGAACCATTCTTTCTCTTCTTTCCAAGTTGATCATGGATTATGATTGCGTAATTGTACTGTTCCAGGAAATATACAAGACAGGAGGAAGGAGATTTGGATTGTCAACGTTGATTGCTTTGGGTTGTCTGCCATCCTTGAGAGCAGCTAAACAGGAAAGAACAGGTGTGTCAGGCTGCTTGGATGAAGCTACAATGTTTGCAAAGCTACACAACAGAGCACTCCCTAAAGCACTCAAAGAGCTTGAGGGACAACTAGAAGGATTTAGATACTCAATTTTTGATGCCTATGTTGCAGGAAGGGAGAGAATTAATAACCCTTCAAAATATGGTAATGCCTGTCTATAAGTATTAAATAATTAAAAATCAAGGTCCCTATATAGATTTCCTATCCTTGTTATGAATTTAAATGTGATTTCTCTATATATGAAGGTTTCAAGGATGTTCAAGAGGCATGTTGTGGCAGTGGTCCTTACAGAAGCTTCCCTACTTGTGGTCAGAAAGGATATCAATTATGCGACAATGCAAGTGAATATTTCTTCTTTGATTCGGCTCATCCAACTGAGAGTGCCAACAATCAATTTGCGAAGCTAATGTGGAGTGGAAGTCTTGACATCGTGAAGCCTTACAATCTTAAAACACTGTTTGAGGAATAGCCGAAAATAGAGTTTATTTTTTAACGAAATGCTACGTTAGTTTTCCTGCTGATCTATCAATTTTCCATTTGATTTATGGAGAAGTCCAGCTACCTTTGGACTTGTGTTTTTCTGGGACCTCTTTCATGGTTGTAGATCATGCATGGCCAAAATTTCTAATTTAAAAATTTTAAAATATCAAAATGAAGAAAGAGAGAAAATCATGTGGGAAATACCTTGCTTTCCACCTTCCGATGAATTTTATGGTATTGTGTGAGTAATATTATTACTTACTTTATTTTAGTAATTGAAATATCAAAATGAAGAAAGAGAGAGAATCATGTGGGAAATACCTTGCTTTCCACCTCTTGCAAAGAACATTCAATGCTGAAACGAACCACTTGCTGATTTGGTAAGGGTCTAAGTTGATCCTCGCCAACTGAACACATGCATGATTCCAAATCCTCCAACTTGCTGGCAGTGTTGTAGTAGATGGTGGAGTGATTCTTCCTCAGCTTGACAGCAGCAACATACATTTTCTACTGGTGTAATTATTCCATGGTGCTGCAAGAAACTCTTTAGTGTTCAGTCTATCAAGAACAGCCAGCCAAGTGAAGAATTCTACCTTTGGGAGAGCGGTAGGTTTCCATACATTGGGGATGTTCATGGTCTGACATGGAAGCAATAACCCAGCCACAGCTGCAGTACAAGATTTCACAGTATAACCACCCCTACTGTCAAGTATCCATATTAGTTTATCATCCCTATATTGGTGTCAATATGGTGCTGAAAGCATTGTTTGAGGGCGAGTTTCATCCTCTTTCTCTCGTGGATAAAGCCCTGGTCTGCTCTGAAGCTTGTCAAGCTCCCATTTTCGAAATCATTGCTAGCTGATGCAGAGCTGATCGGTCCAAATTTGGAAAAGCAATCACCCCAAGACCGAAACCATCTGCGAGAATCCAAACCAGTTCCATCCATCTGTTTTGGCTTTGAAAGAGCATTCCACGCTACCTTATAGAGTTTTCTTTCATTAGACACTCCAGTTCCACCCCTCTGTTTTGGCTTTAAACCTATGTGATTGGGCTTTATTTGATTTAACAGTTTGCAGATGAATTAAAGAAAAATTGTAGTGTTCGATTCTCCTCTTCCCTTCCCTTCTCTCCTCTCCTCTTCTTCTTCCTTCTTCCCTAGCTTTTCTTTCCTTTTTCTTCTCTTCTTTCTTTCTCTCCCTTCTCCCTTTCTCCTCAAATCTCTCTTTATCCGGCATCAAGAACTCTCTTAATACATGCAACACAAATAAAGACTTCCTTCAAGCCTTTTAATCTACGATATCATTCAAACAAAAGCTTATCAATTTGCAAGACCGGCGATTTATGAACATAAACTATTTTAAAAAAAATTAACAATCCAAATAGTTACAATCACAGACAAAATTAGAGGACTTCATGTTGCCATAAGATCTAGCAGAAAACATCGATATCTAGAGAATTGATCTAGTTTTCCAGTTGCCAAAACTTTGTGTTTCGGACGCATTTCCAAGCTCCTCCACGTACCTATGCTTCCATAAATCATTGTTCGAACACAGACTCTGCATCTTAGAACTAGCGCATTCCATTCTGGTAATACAGGTGGTAGGAATAAACCGAGTATCAGACCTTGAAGGTGTAAGGATCTTTTCATTCTAGTTGAGAGACTTTCATCTCAACCGGTTAATGTATCCTTTGTTCATTTCAAATGGACTTTTGAGATTTCTTGAATGGATTTGGAAGTAGCAGAATGATGAATCCGTTAGGTGGAAGTTAAGGAACAAAATCAAATAATTATGGGAGGGTTTCAGCAAGTACTCTTAGCTTATAATTATATCATCAGCTGGTGCGTAAAAAGTTCTTGGGTTTATATAAAACCTTGAAATCTGTTTGCAACACAACAATATATTTGTTACAGTACACGTCTTTGATTTTTATGCATGCAAGATGATCTCTCTCTCCCTTTAAACATTGTGTTTTGCTGGGAACAAGTGTGTTTTAATAACTTGGTATTTAATCAGGCCTTAAAATTAAATTACAGTAGATCATTTGTGACGTTGAGGTTTAATATTGCAACGTTCTGAAATATTGGGTTAATTTTGAAAACGAATTAAACGTAAAAGGAAAAAAATATAAAACCTGGTTTAACATGGAAAGGAAAGATTAATGTCGGTGATGGAAAGTGACTTTTCGAAACATCATTAATTTTCCAAATTAATCAAAGCATCATGTCTCTTCACTTCACTTCATATATATATAAATATATATCCTCTTAATACCACCCCCACCCCCACCCGGTGATCATTCACAAACAAGTATGTATGCTCTCTCTCTCTCTCTCACACACACACACACACACATTCAAGGAGTTTCTTTTCTTCTTTTTTTACGTATAATTCAGGTTAAGGCTCCAAGGACAATCGTGTCAAAACTATAAACATGAACATGGCCCCGCTATTTGGTTTTTTAAAGGATAAAAAAGGTAGCAGAAGCTTTGTATATGAGAAAAGGAGGGAGGGGTAGCTGGAGAAGACGTTAAGAAAAGAAATCAAAGTGATAGAAGATAAAGAGAGGATCCCTTTTTGCTACTTATGGTTTCTTTCTTTCCATCATACAAGTAATTAATTGTAAAAGGAAATTAGAAAAAGAGAAAAAACAAACAAACGGTTAATTGAAACGGTTATGATTTTAAACAATTTTCTTAATTTTGACTTAATTTTCTTAAAATAGCTGATATGCTGCTAATTTTAATGGGAAGATGACACTATGTCCTGTTTTGATTTCCTTAGAATTCTTAAAGTTATCTCATCTTTGATTTATTGGAATATCGTAGAATGATGAAAGAGACAATTTGACCATTTCTACCTTTTCTTCTCTTTTCTTTTTTTAATCTTTGGAAGTCTCTCACCATTTCTACCTTTTCTTTTTTTAATCTTTGGAAGTCTCTGTCTCTTTTCTATTTTCTTCTCTTTTAATTTCACTTTCAAACAGTCCTTTTCATGCTAAAAATCATGCGCTTTTCCTTTTCTTGCACTCCAAGTTTCTCCACCTCTTTGTTTATGCATAAATATAAGACTTGTGTGTATGCTCTTTAGCATTGGAAGCATCTGCTAATTTTGTTGAACTGTGTACTGCAGGTTTCAGTCTTCTGGTGGAAGATACAAAAAGTAGAGTAACAAAAATCAGGAAGAAAAGAAAATATAATTAATGGGTTCTTATAGTCAGATTTTGTTTCTCGTAATTTTAATCTCACTTACACTAGGATGTCAATCATGGGGTTGGTTCTCTTCTTCAACAGAGACTCTCTCCACTGATAATTCACAGACAAACGGTTTGCCCCGTGGTTCTGTGGTGGAATTTTCTATGAATGGTCTTAGTGATGGGAAGGGGATGAAACTGGTCGAAAAAGCCGAAAGGAAAATGGTTGGCACGAATTCTTGTTGGCAGAACGCTTACCAGAATCTCTTTGCTGGCTGCTCGCAGATTCTCGCCGTCGAGGAGACGCGGTGGAGATTTGCTTGGCACCTTAGTGATTGCTTTCAAAAGGACTCTGGACGTCCAGCTTTCCCTTATTGTGACACAAAATCTGCCATGGTTAATTGTCTCAAAATGTTGAATGACAATGAGCACAAGGTTTATCTTGAATTCTCACTCGAAACCAATTCTATCTGCTATCAGTTACAGTTAAGTATAGTTTCTTTCACTGTTCTGACCGTTCTTCTCTTGTTTTATACGATGTGACAGAAACTAACAAGGATTTTTTCATGTGCTATTGCCTACAGGGCCCATGCCTTCAACCATAAAATGGAGAGACTGGTGAATGATCTTAAAAATTCAGCAGAATACACGGAAGAACAGTTAGAAATTATTGAAGGAAAAACACATGTCCTGTTGCAGAGATCGAATCAAATTCAGGATTCATTGAGTTCTATTGATATTCAGGTTGAAAATGTAGCTCAAACAACGAAAGATGCAAAGGATCACATGGATGTTTTATCTAAGCACTCTGAAGCTGTTTATAAGCATTCCAAGGAAATTGCACATTCTCAATCAGAGCTGCAAGAGGGACAAGCAAAAATGAATGAAAATTTGAAGGAAGGGATGTCGATGCTTCATGATGCTTACACCAATCTGGGCCAAGAAGTAGACAAAGTGAGAAACGAAGCTGTGGAAATAGAGAAGCAGATTGGCAGAGTTGGGGACACTTTGTCTTCAAAGATGGAAACTTTACAAAACTCAGCTGATGACATTGAGAACATGGCTGGGAAGTCCTTGGATAAACAGAAACAACTTCTAGATGGGCAATCCAATGCACTTAATGGTCTTCAACTGCTAACTCAATTTCAATCAGAAGCACTCGAAGAGAGCAGGTAAGTAGGAAAACAAAATTACTGTAATTACGAGTAAATAATTAGAGAGCTTAACCGAAATTGTTACCGAATTACAGGAGTACGCTGCAACACTTTGCTGAATATGGCCATAAACAGCAGGAAGAGCTTCTTCATCAACAAGAACAACTTCAAAAGGTCCATGATCATTTGGTAGAAAATTCAAATTCAATATTGGCAGCTCAGGTTAGTGTTTTCATTGAGGCTTAAGATTTCCATGATAGTTTTTGTTGAGACAAGGATTACATGTGACATGGTTTTTCCATTTCTCAGGAAGCTTTCGAATCAAAGCAAGCAAGCATGTTCATTGCTCTGGAGAAGCTGTTTGCTTTGCAAAACGCTATGTTGCTTGAATCACGAATAATTAAAGCTTTCATCCTCTACACTGCATCAATCTTTATCGTTTACATGTTTACCAGTACAAAGCAAACATATACCATAAGAGCGAGGCTTTATGTTGGTACGTGTCTTGTATTTCTCTTATTTTCTATTTTGTCTTCCTGTTTTTTGGTATTTAAATCAAGTATTGAAGGTTTAAATAGGTCTATAATCTGATTTTGGTTCACAGGTCTTGTTGCCACGTTTCTGGTCGAAGTAGCAATGCTTCGGCTCACAATAAATAGTATAGAACGACAAACAAGGCTAATCAATGTGTTCAGGTTACTCTATGGGATTCTTGCCTCTATTCAGTTTCTACATGCCATTTTCACCTACAGGTTGGTTAAAGCTAGATTTATATCAATTGGGTTAACAGCATTTAGATTTCCCACATCTAATAGATTCCTTTACAAATTATGCAGGGATTATGAAGTTTTGAATCATCACTTGATACTAAACCTAATGGATAAGATTAATGTCATGCAAAAAACTAGAGAGTTATCATGGGAAACAGATAGTGATGTTGACTGGTCTTCATGGATTCAAACTGAGTTAGCAGAAGGGGGTGACAATTTGGAAGACCCTGACTTTATGGTTCCAGAAGAGGTTGCAGAGAATTCAATTACTGCTTCCATGACAAGAAAGTATGATCTTCGCTGCCGCCAGCATCAGTGAAAATTTCTCGATTTCTACTGATAGTTCATGACTAATGTTTTTCTTCCCCATCAATTCCTGGTTATTTTTATCCTTTCCTTTACTTGAAAACATCTCTGTAAAGATGGTATGATTATGTTTGCAAATGCAACATATTTAACTTTATTTTGTTAAGATGCTTGTTTTTTAACACAGATTTACATAGCTATGTTTCTTGAAGTTGTTGGTTAGTATTAGCTCCAATAGTGGTACTTTTTTCTTACTGTGGAGCAAGAGGATGCATAAATGGAATTTTATAGGCATGCTCTTGCTCCGCTTGCATCTAAAGAGCAAACTGAAAGTCCGTTTTACATGACATCACCAGAAGTTACTCTTCGAAAATGAATGGATGAATAAAACCAACAGCAGAGGACTCAAAATATTATTATTGCTCTCCTGTGCTTCCGAAGACATGGAGTGCACTTTTGCATGATTCTAAAATTGCAGTTCATTTCTATCTAATTTGCTCTGTTCTAAAACGTTCTCATCTAAACTTTCAATGTCTAGCAAGAAAGCTGATCCAAGCATTTTGAAACTACTGTAAAGTTTCAATTATGGCATAAATATAGTCTGGGGCTAGTACTGAAAGGGCAGATGGTTCTTAATAAAATGTAAATCAAAATTACTTGGAGCACCATGCTTAAAGTAATTCTAGAAAGGATTTGTAGTACGAAATCATGTGATGGACTCATCAAAGAAGAAATAAAGAGTAAAAAGGTTCAAAGAATTATGCTCTGGTATAATGGTTTCACCAATAATCATTACAAGAGCATGCACCTTCTTTGAAATGGTGGAAGCGGTTTGTATCTCTCAAAACAATGACCCTCCCTGTCACTCTTGAAACTATCTTGATCCAAGAGTGACAATCTACACAAACACGAAGGTTCTTTGTGATCCTAATTGGCATTCCGGCAGCAGTATGTATGAGAGCAAAAACAGTTGCTAAGCGCTCACTGTGCCCACACACCCACATTGCCTTTGTTTCTTCATTTACATCATGAAGCACCACCTCTGTGTTGGGTACATAACCAAATTCTTCCATGGCTTCCCTTAATTTGTTCCATATCTTCTTATACTCATCAGAATTACGAAACTCAAAACCTCCACCAGCTACAAAAGAGTGGATTTTATTCTTTACCTGTATCCAACTACATCCAGCCTCCTTTCTGATTCTTCTTGTTTGCATCATCTCTCTAACCATATTTACAGAGTCCCACATCCCTGCATTTGCATAAATGTTTGAGAGCATCACATAGTTCCCAGGATTATATGGCTCAAGCTCAAACAACCGGTTTGCAATAGCCTCTGCAAGAGGGACCTCGTTATGTAGGCGGCATGAGTTGAGCAATGATCCCCATATGCTACCACTTGGCTTCATGGGCATGTTTTTCACCACCACCAATGCATCATCAATTGTTCCAGCTCTGCCTAACATATCCACCAAACAAGCATAATGCTCTAAACTTGGAGAGACCCCAAAATCCATTTCCATTCTATGAAACAATTTCTGTCCATCTTCTGTTAGCCCAGCATGGCTACAACCTGATAGCAGTGCAATAAATGTAACATCATCCGGCCTTATCCCACATGAAACCATCTCATTGAACAAATCCATCGCCACCCCCATACAACCATTGATTGCATAACCAGTCAACATAGTATTCCATGATGTCAAGTCTTTACTTCTCATCCCATCAAACAATCTCCTACCATAATCTACAACTCCACATTTCACATACATATCCACAAGGGAATTTAGCACTAGGACATCTGGCCTTCTCGCTGATTTAACAATTTGCGCATGTATCTCTTTTCCACTGAGAAGTGCTGTCACGCGTGCACAAATCGGCAAAATTGTAGTTAGTGTAACCCAACTAAACCCCGTTCCCTCTCTTTGCATCCTTCTAAACACATCAAGTGCCTCGCCCAATTTATCTTCTTTAACAAAACCAGAAATCAAAGAATTCCAAGAAGCGACATTTCTTTCAGGCATTTGATCAAACACCTTCAAAACTTCATCAAAACACTCACACTGTGTATACAACCTCAGCAGACCATTATTCACCACTTGATCAGGCCCTTCACTAGACTTTACCACTTGTGCATGAACTCCTCTACCAACCCACAATTCCCTCAAATCCGCACACGCTTTCAACGCTGTGGAGAACGCAAAATTGCCCGGCTCCATACAATTCCATAACATCTCAACATAAACAAGCAAAGCCTCTCTCAACAACCCATTTTTCGAATACCCAATTGCCATTGCCACCCAAACTGACTCCGGCACCCCTTCATTTTCAACCGCATTTTCAAAAATTATGCGTGCCTCATCAAGTTCGCCACATACAGAGAAAAGGGTAATTAGCTTGCTTTTTAAGTTATGATTTTCAAGAAATTTTTCGCTGTATTCTTGTTTAAGGAGCTGTTTATATACTCTTTGGCCATGATGTAACGATTTTTGGGAAATACAAGAATGTAAGAGGTGACTGTAAGTCTCAGGATCAGTAAATTTGGACGGCGAGGATTCGATCAAGTGAATCGCCTCGTCCAGATTGCCAGATTTTGTTAGATATTTGAGGGTTTGATTGAGATTTTGAGAGTTTTTGGAGGGTGGTTTTTGGGGTTTAGGGCATGAAATGACAGTTAAGTTAGTTGGGATTGGGGTGTTAGTTAAGACGGAAATGGCGGGAATCATTATCGGAAGGTGGTAGTTGTCGTTCGGCGAGTCTCTGTGGTTTTTTAAGAGAGATCATACAGGGGAGGCTGGGCCATGAGTGGATGGGTTTGAGTTTAGAAATTTGGATAAAAGTGTGATTTCAGGCCGAGACCAATAATTTTTTTAACTAAAAAATATAGTTTTAAAATCCCACATCAAAATGATTAACCTAAGTTAATTATATATATATATATTAAAAAACAATATTATTTAGAAAAAAACATTATTTTCAGAAAATATTAAATAGGTTTTATCTTAAATGACCACGACATTGAATCTAAGTTTTTGACCGATTTAAATTATATTAATTTTTATTTTATTTTTTTCAACTTAAATTAATGTAAATCTTGGGTTTGCTAGATCCTGGTTTTATAACAGTGACAAGAACCCAAACAAAAAAAATTGAAATATGAAATTTATTTATTATGATGTTTTTTATTTTTGCTACACAGTTAGAGTTCAGAGAAACGCTAATTGATATCTTAAAATGACAGCAATCAACAAGAGTTAAGGGACTAGCTCACATACTTCGAAATATAAAGGGCTAAGTTATAACCCCAATCTAAATCCAGGGACTAAAGAATAATTCACCTCCAAACTTGTCGATTGAGAGGTAGACCTTAATCTTTTAAAGAATCACCATCTGTATCATGCTTGGATTAAAATTTCGAGAGATTTACCCTAATTCTTATTATGAAACTAGAAACTTCAAAAAAAATATGTTTTTGTAAACTACTTAAACCAATGGAAAACCAACATGTTTTCCTGCATGTTTCAGTAACAATTTATTTGATAGTTGTAATTGGAGAGTGCCATCTCTAGTAAGATGGCTCAAAATTCAACATGCCTCCAAAATTAATCTAAGACTTGAATACATGATCACAGGTGCACAGGTTTGCAATCAAGATCAATAGATTTCTTAATTGCATCCACCACAATTTGAGTCTTTCTGCTGATTTCAGGCCATCTGTTATCCGGCGGGAACCCGCATTTCTTAATGCCCTGCGCTAGCCTAGCAAGCTCTTGAACCATCAAGGCCTCTTGAGGAGTTTCATTATCCACCACCACTTTTTCAGTTTTCACATTCCATCCAGTTTGATCATCCATGAACGTTGCAGGTGATGCCAGGTCAAAAAAAGCAGAACCCTCTTGATAAGGAATGACAAAATCCTTGAGATGCAAGGATCCTTTAGTACCGGTGATCGACAAGTCCATGGATGTATGAGAGAAGAAAGAGCAGTGGATGATTGCTACTGTCTTGTGATGTTGATCATAGTTCAAGCAGGCTGTGCATGATAATACGATTCCAGCTGAGTTCTTGGTCACACTAGCTGGTAAAGCAGATACAACATTTGGTAATCGGTAATTTTTTGCCCACAAGACTGCTCCGACGCAATACCAGCCCAAATCACCAAGTACACCAAGAGCATCCATATCCTGCTTCACTCTAATATTGCTCTCAAAGAATTCAGGAGGCACTTTAGCTGTTGACGTGCTATGAATCTGATCAGTATTATAAACACAGTTACAGTCGAATATCTAGTGAACAGCGACAAATGGAGTTCTTAATTTTTACTTTTCCCCAAACCCCAAACCTACGTTCAAACTTGTTGGGAAAATCACATATCTTATAGCTAAAAAGTGGAATCTCTAAAGCATTTTCTTTAAGAAATTGTTGTCCAAGAAAAAAGAAAGAGATGAACACAAGAACACAACTTACAAAGTCCACTTGTCCAACAAGATTGGAATCAAAGAGTAGCTCCTTCATCTTCATAGTTCTTGGATGATGCAACCACATTGAGCCGTCCAAGAATTGCACACCATTTGATACACAAGCTTCCAGAATCTTGTCCAAATCTACCACATCAAGTGCAGCCGGCTTCTCTAATAACACATGCTTCTTCTTTTGGGCAGCCAAGACTGCCCACTGAACATGAAGACTAGTTGGCAATGGCAAGTAAACAACTTCGATGGATGGATCGTCAAGTAATTCTTCATAGCTACCATAAATCTTGATTGTCTCTGGCAATCCATTTTGTATGGCAAATTGCTTGGCCTTTTCTAGGGAGCGACTTGCGATAGCATAAAGAATTGAATTGGGTGCTAAGTTTATGGCTCTTGCCAATTTAATGGCTATTTTGGCACATCCTAGGATACCAAAATTTACTAGATTTTCAGTCATATGTGGTTTTATGTTCGGATTTGGCTAGTGTTCGTGTTCGATAATTTCTTGGAGAGGGATGATGTGCGAGGAAATGATGTTTGGATGAGAAGAAGTCGTGGCATGCTTTAGACCTTAGGACGTTGATAAGGCTAAAATTCTTCTGGGAAGTGTTTTGACTGTTTGTTCTATTACTTTTGAAAATTAGGTACAACAACCCCCAAAACAACCCCTATAAAATAAATACGTGATTAATTTTTTTATTTTATTTTAATATATTGTTATTAAAAACAAAAAAATATTTTAATATATTTTTATTAAAAAACATTTTAAAAATAATAGCCCCCATACCATACTCTTATACACCTCTATATTTTAAAAATAATAGCCCCATACCATACTCTTATACACCTCTATATAATTTTTTTTCAACCAATTATATTTAATTTTTTTTATAATTTTAATATGTTAATATGTTTTTTGAACCAATTGTATTTAATTTTTTTTAATTTTTTTTAATAATTTTAATATGTTAATATCGAAAACAAATTTTTATATATATATATATATATATATTATTTTGATATTTTTTAAATAAAAATATTTTAAAAATATTGATTATCATCTTAAACTCTATCTCAATATAATATTTGTATTAAACAGTAAGATAAAAAGTGTCAATCTGAATCTTCTTTTAACAGGACTGTCTCCCACATGAAGCTTGTATCTTGATCAACTAAAATTTCTGATAGAGTTCATGAGATTATTTACCAAATCATCAGGACAAAAACAAGCCCCAATTCTCTGAGAAGCCCTCTAATTATTCTAATTTTTCAAATTTGACCATCTCATTAACGCAAATGTTTTAGTTTAATCCCTGAAATCAGTTTCTGCTAAATACAATAACCAACTAACTAAAACCTGAAAGCCCGCCTTTCCAGTTTCTGTGCTTCCCTTCCTTCTCTCCCTCTCACAAGAGTCACATCACCTCTTCCTCAAGAAACTCTCCGTTTTCAAGAATGGTATCCACTACTTCATCATCATCATCACCACCACGTCGAGTTCCAGCCAGGCCACTATCACGCTCCCTTCTGCCTTTGCGCTTTAAGGCCAAACTACTTCCAGGCCGCGGAAACCCGAGTAAATCAAGAAACTGGTCACGGCCATCACCATCAAGACTAGGACCATCATCATTGAGCTCAGAGGAGTCATCATTACCCTTAGTTTCTCCACTGTCGCGATCATCCCTGTATTCAACTAGGGAATATCTCAGAAGTAAAGCCATACAAATCCTGGAGTCACCAGATGCTTTACCTCTTACTTTTTTTCTTAATGAACTTAACTTCCCTGAAAACTCCATTGATTTAATGAATGCTCGAAAACTCTTGAATTACCTTAAAAAGAACTACCTTACTTCCTTCTGTCTTTGCCTTGTTTCTTACTTGAAATTTTGCGCCACTGAATTTGTGAATTGCAAGGAATATGCCTTTGATATCCTATGCCAGATTCTTACAGAAAATGAGCGTGGTCTTTGGCAGGAAACCTCCTTCATGAATAAAGAACTCAAATCAGCACTTCTTGATTGTTTGAATACAGAGAGGTCAATAAAGATATTGCATAAAATTCTCGATTTTGTCGTCACCATTGCTACTAAAGAAGTAAGACTTGGGAATGAATGGCCTGAGCTTCTTGAGTTTGTTTATGAATCTATTGGTTCTGATTCTGATTCTGAAGATAGATTGGAGTGTGCGATTTCTTTGCTTTATAAGTTGATCCCACAATGTGCTGTCGAAGATTTGGTTATTAGTATTGATTCCTTTTATGATAGTTTAGTGGATATATTTGATTCTGAAGAAATGAGTTTAGAGGTACAGGTTCAGGCAGCTCTTGCCTCAAATCGTTTTCTTTGTTACTGGACGAATCGGTCAGACCATGATAGATATAGTACTGTCCTTTTGGTCGAAATAGTGTTGACCATTTCCACTTTGATCGAGCATAGATCAGACAAAGATATACAGGCGGTGGTCAATGAATTGACTGTGTTGGCAAAGGAGAAGCCATGGTCTTTGAGTAGCCAATTTGATTATCTGGTTCAATCTGTGCTTAGGATCGTGGATGGAATTGAACTTCAAGACAGAACAAAAATTATTGCATTAGAATTTGTGGTTGCTTTATCTGAAAAAAGAGTTGAAGGTCGACGAATGTTGCGAAGATCACATTATATAATCCCAAAGTTACTTGAAAAGATTTTGTTTCTGCTTGCAAATTTAGAAGATGAACCAGAAAGCGGAACTGCAGAGACTGACATTCAGAATCTGCCTGTGGTAAGGTGCTTGGCTAGAATTGCAGCTGCCTTAGGTGGGGAAGTTCTCGTGAATAATTTCCCCAAATTATTTGCAATTCATTTTGGCGCTGAAGATTGGCAGAGCCGCCATGCTGCTGTTCTTTTCCTTGGCATTGTTGCAGAGAAATGTTCAAAGCCAAAGGTCTCTGAACTTTTCCTCCCCTTTCCATTCTATATGTTTTGTTAATTGATTCTAGTTCTTGTGGCTTCATTGGATTTAAAATCATCCCTAAGGTTCTACAATGCAGGAGTTGAAACATGGTTGGAATCAAATGGCAGGAAGAATTATCAGAAGTGTCAAAGAAGACATACACCCTCATGTGCGTTGGGCAGCTTTATATACAATTAAACAATTATCCAAGCATTTGAAACCTGAATTTCAAGACAATTATCATGAAAAGGTGATGCCTGCATTAACCAAAGCCATGGATGATTTCAATAATCCCCGTGTTCAGGTACCTCGATTCCTGAAATAGCAAATCCTGACTTAACCTTGTAACACCAGTAGCCTGTTACCATCTTTCACCCCTAGATGCTTTATATCCTTGATTCTTCTGGTTTTGCTAATTATTTCTCCAGGTGCAAGCTTATTTAGCGTTGTTCGACTTCACCTGGAACTGTTCTTCAAGTACTCTGAAACCTCACCTAAAGGAAATTGTCAACAAATTGCTCAAACAATTAACAGGTATATTACCTGCTGTACAATTCATTCTACCTATGTATGTACTGTGTGCACCCTTGTTTATAATGCATTTAGGCACTACTGTTTATAATGCAGAAAGTAAATCATATGGTCCAGGGCGAAACTTTAAAACTATTGTCAGCAGTAGCTCATTCATCACAGGTACTCCTTGATTATTGATATTCAGTTAATCCAAGTTTCTGTTTTCTTAGCTATATTCTACCTTCTTGTTTAACACTGCAGGATCACTTTGCAGAGTATTATAGTAGTGTCATGCCTTATCTTAAAGTTATAATGATGACTGCAAATGAAGAACTTGACCACAATCATCTTGCCAATTCCGTGGAGTGCATAACTATTGTTTGGTTGGCTGTAGGAAAGGATAAGATCAGATCTGATATTGAAATGGTAATGGTCAATAACAATTTTTATAGAAATTTAAACTGGTTGTGGTTGCTGTCAGAATAGACCTCCTGAAGTCAGTCCATAACTAAAACCAATTGGATTTATTTCTTAGTTGGAATGGCCAAATGATCTATAATTGTGAGATATTGCATAACTATAACTGTTTATTATCTCATACAAGGTTGTGTAATTGCTCTTCTCTTTACAAGGATCAAAATTAGAGGAAAATGATCCAATGAGAAGTCAACTGTTGCAAGTATGTCATTGTTACTTTTCCAGTTTCATTTCAAACATAAAGGCAGCACTTCCCATTTATTCCTGCTTTTTATCCAACACAAATCTATAACCACGTTGCAGGCATGGGCCAGGCTTGGGAAATGCTTGGGACATGAATTCAAACCTTATATGAGTGTTGCCATTCCGCGGTTGCTTAAATCTGCTAAAATCGGATCATATGTCATTATACCTGATAATCCTGACGATTTTGATCAATCGGATGGCAGGTAGGCTTTTCAGTCGAGGATTTTTCCTACATTTCTGCAATGCATAATATACTGTCAATACTTTTTTTCTGGTCTTTGATACTTGTAGAGACAATGCTAGAATGCAGGAAGCTATGCTCCAAAATTGAGAATGTTTTTCCTTTAGCTTGACACCTTCAGAAGAAATGATTTTGATAATAAGAGAGATTTTTTTGCCGACATTAGGATTTTTAGCCCTTTTCTTTTGCTGAGGAATATACGATTTTTACAGTATCACGGCCCTGATTCTTGGAGATAGAAAGATTTGGATCAAAACTAAGGTCCTGGAGGAAAAACTCACAGCTTGTAAAGGGTTGTATTTACTGGCTGATGAGTTGAAGGAAGGCCTTTCGGTATGGACTGAATAGGTTGGTTATGCAACACTGCATATGATTCTCCTTTCTTGAATCTCTTCCAAAAAATTGGAAATAACTTCCAATGCAATGATCAATAATATGTGTAGGTTGCTCGGGCTTTAGTTCCACGTCTCAAATTTGCACACAGTGAAGAAATCCGAAGAGTTGCTGCTTCTGGTATTTATTACACTTTAATGTTTCTTGACAAAGAAAGCTGAATTCTCCAAGTTAAAACTAATGCTCAGGACTCAGGAGAGATTACAGATTCTCTGATAGCTTGCACAGGAGCATACTCTCTCTTCAACATCGCACAAAATTCTAGGCATCTGAAACAAGACACATGTAGCGTTCTAGTCAGATTGCCTAGTGCTTCGCTCAGAATCAAAACAGTTTTGCCTTTGAACTTGACCTAAAACCTGAGCCTGTTATTAGAATTTTCAGCTATCCTAGACCTTGTTTAGCACCATTTATCTCATTTTCATTTTTCCATGTAAGCTTCTTATTTATTAGGAATGCTCCTGCATCACTGACAAACACAGTTTAATTTTTGGTGCTTCGACACTAGCCATGCCAGTGCTCTTAAAATCATCTAGAGTAGCAACACAAGAACGGTATCTTGAGTGGTCTGCTGACGAATCTCCTTTTAAGAAGTTATGCTCTTATGTGGTACCAGCTCTGGTTAAAGCTCTAAGTAAGGTAATTTCTACTTGAAAATGAACATTTTTTCTCCTTTGGGTTCAAAGAAATAACATTTAATTAAGCTAGGCTACTGTAATTCGTAACTGCTATTGGTATGTAGGAATCATTGCTTGAGATTGCGGCAGTAATTTTGGACTCGTTGGATGAATGCATGAAGGTCTGCCTCGCTTTGGACAAATCTTTACTGCTTATATCTGTTTAAGATCCTACTCAAAATAAACATGAACCTCTTTTTATTCTTTATCCATATTTTGTTTTCCCCGCATGATGACAGGCGAAGACACCTCAGAAGAAGGTGTGAGGACCATGATATGAATCCAATTTCAGACCGTCTCATGACGACAGGCGAAGACACTTCAAGAGAAGGTGTGAGGACCATGATATGAGTCCAATTTCAGACCGTCTCATAACGACAGGCGAAGACACCTCAGGAGAAGGGGGGAAGAATGGACATTAGGATTTTTAGCCCTTTTCTTTTGCTGAGGAATATACGATTTTTACAGTATCACGGCCCTGATTCTTGGAGATAGAAAGATTTGGATCAAAACTAAGGTCCTGGAGGAAAAACTCACAGCTTGTAAAGGGTTGTATTTACTGGCTGATGAGTTGAAGGAAGGCCTTTCGGTATGGACTGAATAGGTTGGTTATGCAACACTGCATATGATTCTCCTTTCTTGAATCTCTTCCAAAAAATTGGAAATAACTTCCAATGCAATGATCAATAATATGTGTAGGTTGCTCGGGCTTTAGTTCCACGTCTCAAATTTGCACACAGTGAAGAAATCCGAAGAGTTGCTGCTTCTGGTATTTATTACACTTTAATGTTTCTTGACAAAGAAAGCTGAATTCTCCAAGTTAAAACTAATGCTCAGGACTCAGGAGAGATTACAGATTCTCTGATAGCTTGCACAGGAGCATACTCTCTCTTCAACATCGCACAAAATTCTAGGCATCTGAAACAAGACACATGTAGCGTTCTAGTCAGATTGCCTAGTGCTTCGCTCAGAATCAAAACAGTTTTGCCTTTGAACTTGACCTAAAACCTGAGCCTGTTATTAGAATTTTCAGCTATCCTAGACCTTGTTTAGCACCATTTATCTCATTTTCATTTTTCCATGTAAGCTTCTTATTTATTAGGAATGCTCCTGCATCACTGACAAACACAGTTTAATTTTTGGTGCTTCGACACTAGCCATGCCAGTGCTCTTAAAATCATCTAGAGTAGCAACACAAGAACGGTATCTTGAGTGGTCTGCTGACGAATCTCCTTTTAAGAAGTTATGCTCTTATGTGGTACCAGCTCTGGTTAAAGCTCTAAGTAAGGTAATTTCTACTTGAAAATGAACATTTTTTCTCCTTTGGGTTCAAAGAAATAACATTTAATTAAGCTAGGCTACTGTAATTCGTAACTGCTATTGGTATGTAGGAATCATTGCTTGAGATTGCGGCAGTAATTTTGGACTCGTTGGATGAATGCATGAAGGTCTGCCTCGCTTTGGACAAATCTTTACTGCTTATATCTGTTTAAGATCCTACTCAAAATAAACATGAACCTCTTTTTATTCTTTATCCATATTTTGTTTTCCTATATGTATCTGTCCCGGGTACTGATTCTGGTAATCGAATTCATGTGTCACAGCAAAATGCTATATATTATGAAATTACCAACATGCATGCTCTCTTATCTTTCAGATGTCTGAACATGTACTAGATGAAGACCAGACTGACCTGTTCCTAAAAGCGATAATGAATGTTCTGCAAAAGATTTCATCTCTTTCAAGAAGCAAAGTTGGGGCTATTGAAGGAATAAATCAGACATTACCAGATGAGGAAAATTGGGAAGAACAGAAAGTTTATGACAAAGTTTGCAGTTTTTTTATCTTTAATTGGAGATGCCTTGCCACTTATTTCAAATTTAATTATTTGTAGATGATCCTTGAAATGGGTTCCGTTGCTTGCCTTCTGTTCATTTCAATGCAGGCAGCTGCTTGTGTGACCACTTTCATCGTAACACACAAGAACTCTTTCTTACCATTCATCGGCAAGCTTGCACCATGCATAGAACTAATGTGGGTGAGTTTAAACATCCTTTTCTGCTCGCATTCTGTGATTCCATGGTCATGACCACAACCTTATAATTTCCAAACATTGTCAAATGATCCATAAAACTGTTGCATGATGGCTGCTGCTAGGCTACCCTGATGACTTTCCAATTCCCATCAAATTGTTTTCATTTCCCACTGGTTCGTTGCCTTCAGGTAAAGGATAGAATAGTCGAAGAGCGAAGAATTGCCTTGCATATATTTTGTGATGTTGCGAAGCAATTCCAAGAAGAAGCATTTAGGTAGACCACTTCTTTTTGCATTGATTGAGCATGCTTTTATAATGTGCTTAATTCAGTCTGATAAAACAGGCGGTGCAAGATTATTCTTCTATTTCTGTTTAAAGCATGCAAGGATGAGAACCCCGAAGTTCAAGAGGTTATCTCACACGCATACCTGTGATGTTGGAACACTTCTATGGTGCATTTCTGATTCAGAAGACTATTGTTTCAGGTAGCTGCGCAGGCAATTGGTACAGCGGCAGAGTTTGGTGGGTCTGTATTCAAGTCTTTTCTTAAAGGTTGCTTGTTATTCTGCTTTCTGCAACATGAGTTCGTCCTGTGCAGTCAGTTTCTGCAATAAACCACGTAGTTTTTCTTTTGCAGGGGCTGTTTCTGCTTTGAATGCGGTTATGGGGCATCCTAACGCATTGCAGATGGAATATGTAATGGCCCATGATACTGCTGTTTCTGCTCTAGGAAAAAATTTGCAGTTCCATCGTGAAAAACTCAAAGCGGAAAAGGTATATTTGCTTTTTCTTGTTTCCAGATTAACGTCAAAGGAAGCTTTTGTGTTCCACCAAATGCGTGCACGTTTCAGCTTGTATTTCCTTTTAGACTTACCTTTCCGACTGATGTTCGACTGGAGAGTATGTTTGGCAGTAAAAAAGTGGCAGAAGCAAAGCTAGGAATTAATTTGCCTTTTAGAAAGCATATTATGGCCATTCTGTGAAGTTGCCTTCTCTATTTAACAGGTTTTGAGGATATGGTTAGGCCATTTGCCACTGAAAAATCATCTAGAGGAGGCCAAAGTTGTTCATCGGCAGCTATGTTCATTGGTTGAAGTGTAAGCCAAATTTTCATCACATGGTTGAAGTATAACTAGAACCATTCGATTCCATTTTCTACTGATTTTCCTTACCCTGGTTGTTTTCTTGTTTCATTCCAGGTCAGAGGGGGAACTTCTACGCACCCAAAAGGCTTATCTTTCCGAAATTGTTGCTGTTTACGCCGAGGTACATTCCATTGTTTGTTTAATTCGGCAAACTGCTTAATTTTCCATGAATTTTACTTATAATAGAACAATCCTTTTTCTTTTTCGAAAGATCCTGTGGGCAGGCAAGAAGTTAGCTACTGAGGAAACTGTAAACCAAATGATCAAGCAATTGAAACTTCACAGTAGAAGGTCACCCCCTTCTACCTGGAGATCCATCATGCTCTCCCTGGAACCCCATCTGCAGAAGAAGTTGGAATCCGTATTGTCGTCCTAGATTTCTATGTGCAATGGGCAATGTTGTCTGTCCCTCTTTAAAATGTTTGTGCTAATCAACAAGTTTGCTCATTGCTGCATGTACATGAACTATTCTTATGTGCATTACCCCTGACAGTTCCTGGAATACATAAATCGAAGGAATGAATCGCTCATTCAATCACTTGTTGGAGAGAAAATGAACAAACACAAAAAAAACAAAAACATGTTTGGTTGGAGAGGCAGACATAAAATAAATTAGTACCCGAGACAGTTTTTGAGTGAATTTCTATTTTTTAAAAATAAAAAGGATAGGGGAACATGTCAAATGTTATCATATATACTCATTCTTATATTGAACATCTGCCTAAAAGAACAGATGTGTTTGATCCCAGATGAGAAAGGTAACTAGTTATATATACACATCTTTGTACAGGATCAACTTGTTTGTATGTTACACCACCACCAAACTAAATAGCATCAAATTTGATGATCACACCAAAATCATTCATTTCCCGGTTAGTTTAATGTCCAAATCTATGTATCCTTTACCATAGTGACTAGATGGTATAAATGAATCAACTTTGGTTCACTTTTCTTGTTTTAAATTTGAAAGGCAGAGTAGGCTGTCGCAAATTCCCGGCAAGTCACATTGCACCTGTAGTAGTATGCACACCCACAGCAACTGTGTCGAAACCGAAGCTCAAGATAACTCTGCAGATTTGAACCCGAGCTCGGTTCGCCAGGTGAACGAAGTGTGTTACTGCTGTACTAAACCTTATTGGCATCAACTTTTGTATACTGAGATCAAGTTCATTAATCTATTACAATCATAGATAGGGCACTGCCACATATATTGTCAAAAAAAATTGATCATGAGAATTTTGCAGGGTCACTGATAAATTCTTTAATGCTAATTGCTAAAGCAATAGCCATGGAAAAATTCATCTGACTCTCACAACACTATGTCAACAATGGCCTAGCCAATATATACAGAGCAGAAAATATCTATTATTTTAAATTTTCTAATATGACCACCTCACAGAAGTAAAGCCAAAATCATTGATTGTCTCAGAATTAAAGCCAAAATCATTTTTTCACTTGAACGTTTCTTTTGCTTTTGTTTCCAATTTCAGATCAGATGTGGAACTTCTAGGCCCAAACAAGGCTAATTTTTGCAGAGTCGCTGGTGTTTATGCCGAGGTACATTTCCTCCTTTATTGTGAAGTAACAATTGCTTTCGTAGCCCATTTTAGAATCTGTATAAACTATTGATAATACCTATTTTCTGTGATTTTTACTTTGCATGGGAGATCTTCATTTTTTCCAGATCCTGTGGACGGGTAAGAAGTTAGCCACAGATGAAACTATAAGCCAAATGATCAAGCAACTGAAACAAAAAGAAGCGGGTCACTGCCCAATATTTTGAAATCCACCATTTCCTCCCTAGAACTCCATCAGCAGATTCATCAGAAGTTGGAATCTATATTGTTCTACTACACTATCATCCCTTAAAGACATCTTGTTTGTATGACATTGAATCCTTTTTTGCTGATTAAAACTATTAACGGATGAAGAGAATTTCTACTTGCCAAGAAAATAAGTTTCCTTGCTATCATTTACCCGTAAGCCTCATTAATACAGCAAAGAAATTCCCTAATAAACAAACAAGGCAAATTACAAGCATCATTCGTTGAGAGAACTAAATTAAGCGAAAGCTACGTCGCACTGTATAAATCTACTTGATGAAAAGATCATTTCAAGTCAAACAGAAAAATAAACAAAACTTTGAGATTTATTCTCTCGTATCATCATCCTCATCTTCTGCATCAGTTATCTCAAGGTCAGCAAGCAGCTCTTCTAGAGGAATAGAAGGTGCATCCTCCCCATTAGTCAGAGATGCCATCTCAGAAGGTTGATATTCTTTGTTACGATACAATGATATATTGAACCTCCACTCAGGGTTCTCTTCCAGATCTCTCAAGAACTGTTCATACTCCGAGTTCATCTTCTCTTCATCACCTCTACCTCTCGTGTCATCAAACTCCATATTGAGGGACTTGAGCTTCCAGGAACGAGGCTTCCCCCGTTTTCTCTGGCGTTTCTCTTCATAGCTCTTCTTTACCAAGATTACTTCCGGAATGACTAAATCTTTGTACTTGTCGAGCTCCATGTCATTACTGTTAGCTCCATGTAGGTCATAACCAAGAGCATAATCACCAGGTTTCAGAATATGCCCCAGATGCGTTTTTATGTAGAACATGGTATCATTCTTCCCAAAATCTGACACACGAGCAACTTGGGCATCAGCTAAAGCATATCTAGAGCCACCAATACTAACTTCAGGGGAAACAATGTCCTCATCAAATACAATATACTCCACAAGCTGCCTGCTAGTGAGAAGAGACTAAAAGGCTGTTCTCCAATACCGGTCAGCGTCCAAGAAGCACTGTCTCAGAGTGAAAGGATCTAACAACGCAATGCTGTTTGTGACTTTGGTGCAGATCACAAGAGGACCTAGATTCCCCAAGCCAACAGCAACTCTTGGAGACAGCAGATTAAATCCTCACGGAAAATTGGAGAGATGTCAACCGAGAAAGTATATTTGTAATTGTAGTTGTTGCTCTTAGTATCATGGGAAACAAGTTGCTTGTCATCGCGACTCCTTACTGGAGCTACTTTACCCACAAACTCAACAAATTTAACACCATGGCTACGATTTCCAAAGAAAAAATCAATACCATGATCCATTTGCTTGATTTTAATAGCACGGACAGCAGCATCATGCTTCAAAATCAGCTGCTCCAAGTAAAAGAAAGTTCTTCAATGAGCGACATGGTGCCGGAGCTGGACAGCAGCAACCCATTGATCTAGGATTGGCATGAAACTCTTGTGCAAGAATCACACGTGTTCCTGCTGAACATACTCAACAACATATGCTTGTTCAAGTATTGCACCATCAAGGACCTCCTTCTGAACTCTCACCCGGAGCTTGATCCTCTTGGAATGAGGTTCAGTCCAAATAAATTCCGCATTTACCAAATTAACCCCTTCCGACTTCAACTTCTTCAGACAAAATGCCATCAACTCCCTTGATTCTAATTGAGCCCTAATCCGCGTAGTTGGTGGATCCAAGAAGGTATCACACTCGGAGCAATGTACAAGGATCACATGCTTCTTTAACCTTCAGTCATGTCAACTTCCGAGCGCAAAAACTTGACACGCATATTAGCAGCATTTGGTTGCATCAGAATACCACATTCTCGACACAAAACACTTCCAATTGCCTGATGAACCATAAACATGCCTGCTTCTTCAGCCATATCTGGCAAATAACACAAAGAATAAGAACAACAACAATAGTATGCATTATTTATCATAACTGTCTTAATTGATTTCCACCAAATTACTCTGGATTAATATTCTACATTGTTTAAAAAACTCGAGTTTGTTTGAATTAATATCCTACATGGTTTAAAAAGAAACGCAACTTAAACTAGATTCTAGAACGATAAATCACCAAATCGAGTTTAATAGCATTGATTGATATTATATTAATTTTTATTTATTTTCTTAATAATTTAACTAGTAGTTATGTTGTTTGTTCATAGTTGGGGGATGGGGGGTAAAATTTGATGGTATACTTTTCTTTCAGCCAGTGTGTGTACAGTAAGTATATGCAGAGTCGAGTACGACGGCCTTAATGAATGGATCCTAAGAGGCCCATAAAGCCTTTCCCAAAGAACCTGCAAAAGGCCCATCTCTTGAACTTACACTCAAATGTAAAGCCCATTGAAATGCATATTCCAAGACATAGGCTCTTAGGGACCAGGGCCGCAGTCCTTTACAGGGAGGTTTACACATTCTTTTAGGGTTTCGCATTTTCCTTTCAAATCTTAAAATCTTATCTATCATATTTAATATTTCAGTCTTGATAAAAGACTTACATTAGTCTTCCCCCTTGGAGACCAAAGGTTTAATGGGCCAAAAAAAAACCTAGAGTACATTAATTCTCCAATTTTTCCTCAGCGATGTGATGTGGGTCTTGGCTCCAAAGTTTCTCGCAAGCCAAGAACTTTTTGGTGGAAATAGATGATGATTTTGATTGAATTAAGGCTATAATCATAGATGGATATTAGTTTAGGGGGGTAAATTAAGAAAATCCCCAAACTTCAGGGAGTTTAGTAGTTTTCCTTTGTTTTATATATAGATGAAGAATTTATTTATTTATTTATTTAATTCTTAAGTGCAAATGAGCTTAATTAGCCTATAGCACAAACAAAGAACCAATAAGAGGTCCAACTCAAAGCCTAGAACATAAATGAGATTTAGCTAAGATAAAGATCTTTTTTAAAACTAATTAACCACACCATGGGTAAATTTACAATCATTCTCGTAGTATTCTTCATCTAAAATATTATATTTTTAAAATATTTTTTAATTTTAATGTAATAATATTAAATCATCCAGAAAAACATTATCAAACACATTACTAAGAGGTAAATTAGTGGGACTTGATACTACAACATTACTAAGAGGTAAGCCAAAAAATTAAAAAAATCAAATTATAAAAAAAAAACTCATTAGAATATTAAAAAAAATATTCAATTTGGTTCAGTTTCATAAGCATGAAATCAAAAAACCAAACCGAACCAAATTGAAAAAATAAAAATAAAAGAATCGAAAAAACCCGAAATCAAGCCCATTAAAAACATTTAAAAAAAACCCAAAAACAATATAAATTTTAATTTTTAATATAAAATAATTAAATCGAATTGCATCAAAACCAAACTGAATCAAAATCAATCAGTTGAGTTTTAGTTTTTAATATAAAATAATCAAATTAAACTTAATTTTTAATATAAAATAATCAGATTAAACTTAATCAAAACTGATTAGTTTCACCTTATTTTAGTTAGATTTTTTTTATATATATATTTTATAAAATTTTAATTTATTTTTATAGATAAACCTCAAACTAAACACTCGCAAGCCATGAACTTTTTGATGGAAATAGATGGTGATTTTGATAAAATTAAGGCTATAATCATAGAGGGATATCAATTTAGGGGGTAAATTAAGAAAATCCCCAAACTTCAGGGAGTTTAGTAGTTTTCCTTTGTTTTATATATAGATGAAGAATTTATTTATTTATTTATTTAATTCTTAAGTGCAAATGAGCTTAATTAGCCTATAGCACAAACAAAGAACCAATAAGAGGTCCAACTCAAAGCCTAGAACATAAATGAGATTTAGCTAAGATC